GAACAAAAATAATTGTATAATAGACAAAACCCAAGATGCAAGAAGATTACAAATTCTTGAAGCAATTCACATAAGAATAGAACAACCTACCATGAACACCCAAATCATGGAACTATTTACTCTACCCACCATGAGAGTAAGGACAAGACCACATCATAACAATGCCAACACAGAAGACACTGTTTAACATACCAGGCCAATTACACTTGATTAATCTTTGTATGTAGATAGGAGCTGCCTCGTATGGGCCAATAGGCCTTCAGCAGTTACCTCTATTCATATGTTCATATGTTCATATGTTTCTCCCCCATTTATCCCTTATGTATCCCCCTATGTTTTCACCTTTATTGTCTTATCACCTGACCCAGTGTGGGTATAAAATCAACCAGTCCTGAAAATTCTTTTCACTTGAGAATGAACCATGGAGGTTCGAAACGTTGTGCAAATTGTATAAATAAGTGTAATACATTCTATAGTAATTCACTTCTTTTCTTCACCTTGAAATTACGAAAATGAGTTCAGCGTGAACAACAGAAAGAAGCTCTCCAGATAAAGGAACGCGAGGCTGCCCTAAAGAAGGAAGAACAGGAATGCGAGGCTGCCCTAAAGAAGGAAGAACAGGAATGCGAGGCTGCCCTAAAGAAGGAAGAACAGGAACGCGAGGCTGCCAGGCATAAAGAGGAACAGGAACGCCAAGTTGCCCTACAACGTGCGCGTGAGAGGGACTAGCTTGAAGTAAAAGAACGTAATCTGGAGATACAACGTGAACACGATGAAAAGCAAGCCGATACTGTTCTAGAATACCGTAAAAGAGAACTCGACTTGGAAACTACACACTATACTCAGCGCCAACAAACAGCCAGTGCTCTAGCAAGCTTTAGCATCTCCCAGACAAGTAAGTTAATGCCACCATTCGGAGACAGAGATAGATGTGTTTTTTACTACTTTTGAGGCCCTAGCTAAAAAACTTAGCTGGCCTCAAGATCAGTGGTCTATACTTCTCAAGAGTGCATTTCACAGCTAGAGCTGCGGTTACTCTCAGTACCATAGCGTCTGAGAATGACTACTAGACTCTATAGCAAGCCGTTTTAGATGCCTACCTTCTCTCCACCGAAAACTACAGACGAAAAATCCGTGAGTATCTAAAGGCAAGTGCCACCACCTATTTAGAATTTACCAATACTAAGAAAAGATATTTCATGAAATGGCTGGAAGCAGCACATGTCTACATTTTCAGACCTTGTCAACCTTATTCTAGTCGAAGAATTCTTTCGACGTATTCCTGCTCCCATCCGTCTTCACTTAGCGGACAAGGAGGAAACCGACTACATCAGATGTGCGAAGTCGGCTGACACCTACAGCCTTATACACAGGTTGACAACTGACACATCTTCCAGTAAGAAATCTTGGTCTGATTACGACAAAGTGAGTACCAATCAAGCAACCTCTCAATTATATTGTAAGTATTGCAAGCTCTATGGACATACCATAGATAAATGTGGAAAATCCCAATACAAACGCTATAGTGAAACTCCTAAACCCAAACCGACTCCTCCTAAGTCCGGTAAGCCTGTGATGAATGTTGGTGTTCCTGTTAATGATCTTTCTCTCCACAGCAAACACCTATATCCTAGAACTGTCTCTACCAGCAGTACAGATTCGGTGGATTTTCTAAAGTGAAGATCTTGAGGGACACAGCTGTTCTTCAGTCTATCATTTTGAAATCGGCTGTACCTAACATCACCTACACCGGGGAAACCGTCCTTATCACTGACCTCACTGCCACCACTCCGTATCCACTCGCCAGAGTCCACCTGGATTGTCCTTTTGTACAAGGTGAAGGCCAAGTCGCCATCCGGGAAAAGCCTTTTCCCATGAAAGGGGTACAACTTCTCCTGGGCAACGACTTGGCCGAAGATCTGCAACCTTCCAACTTGATCATCATGGACAAACCCCAGGTATGTGACTGTAGTGAAAAACCCCATCTTGAAGTATGTTCCAGCAGAGGTCCAAGAAAGTGATGAAGTCTCTCCTCTGGTTTTGGTGACAACCCGTGTGCAAGCTGCACGCCCACAACCACCTGACTTTACTGCAACAGCTGTCCCTCAAGACCATCAGAATCTACCACCGAATCTTACGATGTTGGAGTTCTGTAACTTACAGAGGGAGGATTCTTCCTTAAAACCATTATTCTTCCAGGCCGAGACTCAGTCTGATAGTATTCCTGGGTTCTTCATAGAGAACCAATTGCTCTACTGGATTTACCGACCCAGTAAACTAACGGAGGATGACGATTGGGCTAATGTCGACCAACCAGTAGTTGCCACCAGCCTACGGCCTGATATTCTACACCTGGCCCATGGAGCACTTTCTCACTACGGTTTTAATAAAACCTATCACGGAATCAGACAAGACTTCTACTGGCCAGGAATGATTAGAGATGTAAAAACTTATGTACAACAGTGTCAAACATGTCAGATGGCAGGAAAACCTAACATCCCGATTCCCAAGGCTCCTTTGATTCCTTTCCCGGTGCCTTGGGAACTTTTTCACAGTCATTACAGACTGTGTTGGTCCTTTACCCCAGACCAGTTCTGGCAACGCTTATATACTAACCATCCTGTGTCCAACCACCAGATTCCCCATAGCAGTTCCTGTAAAGAACATTACGGCTGCTACGGTGGTGAAACAACTATTGAAGATCTTTACACAATATGGTTTTCCTCGGGAGATTCAAAGTGACTGTGGCACCAACTTCACCAGTGATCTCTTCATGAAGACACTGGATGAATTCAACATCACTCAGATATTGTCCAGCGCCTATCATCCTGCTTCACAGGGTTCTCTTGAACGTAGTCACCAAACTATAAAATCACTCCTTAAGAAATTTTGCAATGAAACTATGAAAGACTGGGATAAACAACTTGACATCATCATGTGCATTTTCAGAAGTCTCCACAATGAGTCTCTAGGAGTATCTCCTTATGAGATGCTCTACGGACGTAAGTGCTGTACTCCTCTTAAAGCTTTTAAAGACTCTCTACGTAATGCCACCTTCAGTGACCCCCAGTATGTGCCCCAGTTTCTTCAAAACGTAAAGCACATTCTAGAGAGAGTACATAAATTTGCCAATGATAATTTACTAAAAGCTCAAGATAGGATGAAGACTCATTTTGTCAAAAGGAGTAAAATCAGGAAATTTAAAGCAGGAGACTTCGTTTTAGCATATTTTCCGATCCCTGGTTCTCCATTGCAAAATAAATTTTCAGGAACTTACCGCATCAAGGAGTGCAGAAACAACCAAAACTACGTTCTTGAGACTTCAGATAGGCGGCGGAGGACCCAGTTGTGCCACGTCAATCTTCTGAAGGAGTATAAAGGTATTCCCCCCACTGTGCTAGTATCTCTCTCCACCTTTAAAGATCCATACCTCCACAGTGAGACCTTCCCTGCTTCTCCTCTCGAAAGCACTAACTTTGAGTCAGTGCCTTCCAACTCGGAAATCCTTACTGATCTTCCTAAATATTTACACGACTGTAACAGTGATCCTCTCATCAAAGTTCTTCAAGAACATCAGAAATTGTTCAGCAATGATCCCCAGGAGTGTAATGTGGTTCAGCACGACAACAAGCTACTTCCTGATACCCGGCCGATTCGTCAACCCTTCTACAGTATCAGCCCGTACAAAAAGGAAGTTATGCGTGCTGAAGTACAATACCTTCTGGATCATGGGCTGGCCACCCCTTGTGAGTCCCCTTGGGCCTCACCCTGCATCTTGGTGCCGAAACCGCACGGTAAAGTACGACTATGTACCAACTATAGGAAACTGAACCTTGTGACCGTCAAGGATGCTTACCCTTTACCTCGTATAGATGACGCAGTAGGTAATGCTAATTATCTGTCCAAATTGATTTGTTAAAGGGCTACTATCAGATCAGCCTGACAGAGCGAGCTAAGGAAATATCTTCCTTCACCACTCCTTTTGGCCTGTACAGATATCAACGCCTTCCTTTTGGACTGTGTAACGCCCCGGCCACCTTCCAGCGTGCTGTCAACTGCGTCATCTACAGCCTAGATCACACCTACGCCTACTTGGATGACACCGTTGTGGCAACTAGCACCTGGAGCGAACATCTGCTCCAGCTGCAACGACTGTTCTCCAAGCTCCTAACAGCTGGCCTTACCATCAACTTGGGCAAGTCCACCTTTGCTAAAGGTAAAGTGCGTTATCTTGATCATGTGATAGGGAGTGGCAGCCTAGTTGCTTTAACCATTCACACTCAACCCATTCAGCATTACCCACAACCTACAACCAGGAAGCAGCTCCTGTGCTTCCATGACCTTGCATCTTACTACCGTAGGTTTGTGAAAATTTTTAGTACGGTAGCGACACCACTGATTAATCTGACCAGCCCCAAGCAACGGTATCATTGGACCATTCAACAGACTGTTGCCTTTGAACAACCAAAATCTCTGCTATGTTCTGATCCCATTCTCGCCTCTCCAGATATTACGAAGCCCTTCATCATCAATGTCGACGCAAGTGGCACTGGCAACAGCATGGCAAAGAGGTTCTTCCTTTCAGCTACTACAGCTACAAGTTAAAGCCCCATCAGAAGAAAAATAGAACCATAGAAAAGGAACTCCTTTCTATCGTCCTGAACCTATAACATTTCGAACCTTACCTACAGGGTAATTGGTCTATTACCATATACTCAGACAACAATCCCTTACGATTCCTGAAACAGGCCCAATTCAGCAATCAACGTCTCCTACGCTAGGCTCTGTACCTGCAGAATTTTAACCTGGAGATATTCTTCATCAAGGGCTCGGATAACATCATAGCCGACGCCCTCTCCAGAGTCTACGAGATAGAGGCAGCTACTCCTACCCCTCTACCATCTACTGAAGTAACTTAACACGTAAGAGCAGGCTTCGGGGGAGAGCTATGACGATAATCTCTTTCAAGAGAGATTTGGCCTGCTCTTTCCTACATTACGTTACTTCAGTACGTCTAAAACATCAAATACTACATTCAAGAGTAGTATATATAGTAGAATACGTTTCTACAAGGGGTATACGTACCCTACACTCGCTCTCCAGACCCCCTCGCTGTCGGCGCACCACCCTCATAGATCACCAAACTACCACTTCCAGCCAGCACGCTTCCCATTGGTGAATCAGCGACTCCACTCGACTTCAGCGCCATCTGCATAGCCTATGACTAGCGTGCACGAGCAGTTGGCTTTAGAATATTCTGTGCTCTCAAGGCTGATACTTCCATCTAGCATACACTCTGTGTATTAGTGGAGGTTTTCAGACAGCCAATATTCTCAGCACCTTTAACTCATTTTTTGTCTTGTTCAATGTAGAGTAACGTAACCATTATATTATTTTATATTGTGTTTTGAATTTGTATTTATGTTTAATTCGCACTGTACATAGTCAAGGGATTATCTTTGTTTAAAGTCAATTAAAGTTTCATTGTTTATACAATTCCTTTTGCGTGTTTTCCCTTTTTACTTGACCACAGGAGACAACAGCCAAGCAGTCAACTTTTTTTTTCTCTTTTTTTTTTTTACTAATGTGATTGGCATTGACACCAGCCATTGGACTGCCTTACACCTACATTTTCTCATCACAATATATATATATATGTGTATATATATATATATATATATATATATATATATATATATATATATATATATTACACAGGTACCTGATGTCAGACATCTGCAGGAGCTGAAGGAGGCATTTGAGCAGAGTTCCGTGCTGCGTTTCACTTACGAGATGGAAAAGGATGGGAAGCTGCCCTTTCTAGATGTAAGTCATGGAAAAGGGCGGAGGTTTCCACACTGCAGTCTACACTAAGGAAACAAACATAGGAATGTGCCTAAATGCCAACAGCGACTGCCCAGACAGGTACAAGAGGAGTGTTGTTAACGCATATGTCGACCGTGCTCTCAGCCACAGCTCAGAATGGAAGCAAGTCGACGAAGAACTCTGTAGGGTAAGGCAGGTCCTAGTCAATAACGGCTTCTCCAATGGTTTCGTCGAAGATATCATAAGAAGGAAAGTGAAAAGTCATGCAACCTCTGAAGAGACAACTAACACAACACCTATACCCCCTATTAGACTATTTTACAGGAACTTCTTTTCCACAGCTCATAAAACGGAGGAAAGGGTCCTGAAAGATATTGTTAATAGAAACGTTATCCCTACAGACAAAAATCAGAGGATACAACTGACGATTTACTATAAAACCAGAAAAACGGCCAGCCTACTCATGAGAAACTCTCCAGACACAAAACAGAACGCTTTAAAAGAGACTAACGTCGTCTATGCCTTCAAATGCCCACTTGGGGACTGTAAGCTCCAAAAAACCCAGTATATAGGCCAGACAACAACATCTCTCTCTAGGCGTTTAACGATGCATAAGCAACAGGGCTCCATTAAGGAACATATAATCTCTTCCCACAACCAAACCATCGCCAGAGAAATCCTAGTAAACAACACAGAAATCATCGATAGATACAGCGATAGCAGGCGGCTTGACGTTTGCGAGGCACTACACATCAAGAAGTCAACACCAGCAATCAACAGCCAATTATTGCACAACTATATTCTACCCACCTCAAGACTCCGCTCCAATATAGAAGCATCAAGAAATATGGACCAATAGGCTTTCTACAAACACTTCTATTCAATATCCATTGCTTCGTGTTCTGTCTTGTGTTGATGAAATTAATACCCTATTAATACTCTTGTTCTGTCTTGTGTTGATGAAATTAATACCCTATTAATACCACATTTTGTTCTGTCTTGTGTTAATGCCACATCACCCCTTCCACCTCACTCAAATGTAGATATAAAATCGGAGATACGTAAGTTTTATTCAGTTGTGTATTTGTGAACTAAAGTCTTTGAAAATGTAATAAGTTTTACGAAACGCGCCCGTGTCGCGTCAGACTAGAAATAAAAATGAATTTTGGAGAATTGATTTTTGATTTACCTCCAACAGTGAAGCGTAATGTACGAAAGATTGAGAAAATTTGTGTTAGAATTATTAATCTTACTTTTTCAGTCATATTTAATAATATATGTCTACAGGAAAGACTGCTACCAAAATATACTAATATATATATATATATATATATATATATATATATATATATATATATATATATATATATATATATATATATATACTTTATTATGCAAGGTTATACAGTTACATAACTGATTTTATACAAAAAATTAACATTAAGAGAACACACAAAAAAAGTTCGCTTCCTAGAGGCTGTAGATTTCCTCGAACTCCTCCGACGCCGGGCAGGAACAGTGATGCAGCGAGCATTCCCCCTCTGGATCGCGACACTGAGGTGCTGAAAGAGAAAACTTACCGCTCTAGGGTCTCTTGTGGTGTCAATGAGCTTGGAACCAAAATCCTTAAGAAACCTTCTTGCACTCTCTCCCCATGGGCCTAGGGTCTCAGACCCTATTGGAACGAAGTTGTACCGCTGATCTAATTGCCTGTACTTGGCTGACTTGTGTCTTTATCTGTGTCGCCGCGGCTCCTGCTGTGCCGGCAGAGAGGTTGATGTATGTGGTTGTCAGGGTGGATACGCAAGTATAGTCCCATGCCAACTGTCTGCCACTCTTCCACGGACGCAGTGTGATTTCGTCTGGTCGGCCGGCAAAGCTAACAGAGTCACGGTTCAGTAGCTTGCGGGGCTCTCTCTCCGCTGGACACTGAGCAGAGGCAAGGCTTCTTTTAATGATGTCATTGACTTCGTCGTGTCTAGTGTGCCAACCACCAGATTTTCCGCAGTGCAGGCCATGCAATCCATATTCGTCAGCATCTGCCTCGCCTCAAATACACCTATGAACAGTGTGGATAGGGGCAGCAAGACGGAGAGCGACTGCAATACGGAGCTCCTGCGGATCAAGACGTGTGCCTGTCGCAGACATAGGGACTGCCAAAAGGAAGTCCCCTGCATGGGGAGCCTGCACAGTTGTGAGGCGTGCACGATCACTGGGGGTTGTTGCTGCTTCCAGCAAAACTGTGGCTTCTTTGTCAACAATGGGGGAGTCCCAACTGGTTTGTTTCTTGGTTTTCGGCATGGCTGGTCTGAGTGCTGGGTCTGCCATGGCACCCCATTTCGTGTCGCATTCCGTGTAGTGGGGGTCCTGTATCCCCGCTACAACACTCAGGGTGTTTGGTAGAATTTCCTTAACCAGGTCATCTGATGCTGAGGAGGAAGACAGGAAGGCTGGGACAGCCAATTTGGGTGGCGGTGCGGACACCCAAGCCACCAAGCCTAACAGGAAGAGTGGCTTGTTTCCACTGGCATTCGTTGAGGGAGAGGTTAACAACTTTTTCCAGCATGGTCTTCAGTAAGAGGTCATACTCTTCAAGCTTTCGGTTGTTGTAAGATGGGGCGCACCTCAGAAAGTAGGTTAGCCTCGGAAGGGATAGGCATTTGTGAGGAGATAAAAAGCATCGTGGGCGTCGATGTCCCCTATTCTGTCTTCCATCCTCCTAAGGTCTGCGATTTTCTTGTCAAGGATCTCCTCAATGGCGTTAGACCCGAGGGGGGCTCCAAGGAGGGTGCTGTTCTCGGCCCAAATGACATCGGCTCCAGGCAAGGCAGACCTTATTCTAGCTATGATGTCTGGGTTGGAGGAGACTACCTCACACTTTGAAGGGTTCAGGACGAGACCCAGGCTTAATTCTTGCTACCATATTTTCCTGATATCTACCAAGAGGGTGTCTACGGTGCCAGCTATAGTGCCATCATCCAAAAACCAGATGTTGAACTCGCTGGACAAGCTTTCATAGATTTCTTTTAAGACTAAGCAGAAAATAAGGGGTGCAAGAGGATCACCTTGCTGAACACCTTCACATGATCTGATTTCATGTTCACCAAAGAGCTATATATATATAGCAGCAAAGAGCTAGCAAAGAGCAAATATATATATATATATATATATATATATATATATATATATATATATATATATATATATATATATATGTCGTACCTAGTAGCCAGAACGCACTTCTCAGCCTACTATGCAAGGCCCGATTTGCCTAATAAGCCAAGTTTTCCTGAATTAATATATTTTCTCAATTTTTTTTCTTATGAAATGATAAAGCTACCAATTTCATTATGTATGAGGTCAATTTTTTTTATTGGATTTAAAAGTAACGTAGATATATGACCGAACCTAACCAAACCTACCTAACCTAACCTAACCTATCTTTATAGGTTAGGTTAGGTTAGGTAGCCAAAAAAGTTAGGTTAGGTTAGGTTAGGTAGGTTAGGTAGTCGAAAAACAATTAATTCATGAAAACTTGGCTTATTAGGCAAATTGGGCCTTGAATAGTAGGCATAGAAGTGCGTTCTGGCTACTAGGTACGACATATATATATATATATATATATATATATATATATATATATATATATATATATATATATATATATATATATATATATATATGTCGTACCTAGTAGCCAGAACTCACTTCTCAGCCTACTATGCAAGGCCCGATTTGCCTAATAAGCCAAGTTTTCATGAATTAATTGTTTTTTGACTACCTAACCTACCTAACCTAACCTAACCTAACTTTTTCGGCTACCTAACCAAACCTAACCTATAAAGATAGGTTAGGTTAGGTTAGGTAGGGTTGGTTAGGTTCAGTCATATATCTACGTTAATTTTAACTCCAATAAAAAAAAAGTGACCTCATACATAATGAAATGGGTAGCTTTATCATTTCATAAGAAAAAAATTAGAAAAAATATATTAATTCAGGAAAACTTGGCTTATTAGGCAAATCGGGCCTTGAATAGTAGGCCAAAAAGTGAGTTCTGGCTACTAGGTACGACATATATATATGCATATATATATATATATATATATATATATATATGCAATTGACGATCACAAAACACTGATCATTTTATGCGGAAAATCCACAGAGAAATATGAAATGAGGTGAACGTTTCGGCTTTGTTAAAGCCTTTGTCAACACCAGACTGACTAAGGAGAAGGGAGAAGGGGGGAAGATATATTAACAAAGCCGAAACGTTCACCTCATTTCATATTTCTCTGTGGATTTTCCGCATATAATATATATATATATATATATATATATATATATATATATATATATATATATATATATATATATATTATATATGACCGAAAAAGTAAGATTAATAATTCTAACACGAATTTTCTCAATACTTCTTATGTTTCTTTTCATTGTTGATGGTAATTGAAAAATCAATTCTCTAAAATTCATTTTCATTTCTAGTCTGACGCGACACTTGAACGCGTTTCGTAATAACTTATTACATTTTCAAAGACTTTTAGTTTACACACACACAACTATAACCTGCAAACACTAAACAGAGTTCTTACTATGCTATGATTTAAACAGCTTCCATTTTATTTTATACCCCCATTTTGGGTGAGGTGATATGTTACAACAGTTTTGGATGAGGTGAACAAAACTTTCAACACAGGACAGAAAAAGAAACAATGGGTATTAATTGGTAAATTGAGGGTAAGAATGGAAGTAACTGCAGAGGGCCTATTGGCCCATATTTCTTGATGCTTCTATATTTTAGCGGAGTCTTGAGTGGGTAGAATATAGTTGTGCATTAATTGGCTGTTGATTGCTGGTGTTGACTACTTGATGTGTAGTGCCTCGCAGATGTCAAGACGCCTGCTATCGCTGTATCTATCGATGATTTTTGTGTTGTTTGCTAAGATTTCTCTGGTGATGGTCTGGTTGTGGGAACAGATTATATGTTCCTTAATGGAGCCCTGTTGCTTATGCATCGTTAATCGCATGGAAAGAAACGTTGTTGTCTTGCCTATATACTGAGTTCTTTGTGGCTTACAGTCCCCAAGAGGGCATTTGAAGGCATGGACGACGTTGGTCTCTTTTAAAGCGTTCTGCTTTGTGTCTGTAGAGTTTTTCATGAGTAGGCTGGCCGTTTTTTTGGTTTTATAGTAAATTGTCAGTTGTATCTTCTGATTTTTGTCTGTAGGGATACCGTTTCTATTAACAATATCTTTCAGGACCCTTTCCTCCGTTTTATGGGCTGTGGAAAAGAAGTTCCTGTAAAATAGTCTAAAAGGGGGTACAGGTGTTGTGTTAGTTGTGTCTTCAGAGGTTGCATGGCGTTTCACTTTCCTTCTTATGATGGCTTCGACAAAACCATTGGAGAAGCCGTTGTTGACTAGGACTAGATAGATAGACAGATATGTATAATGTTAATAATAAATGAAAGATGATAGCAAGAGGATGAACACTCACACTCGACGTTGAGGTTGATAGCGTTGCTCTGGCCGTCACCCTCCAGGTTGCTACCGAGGCAGGTGTACAAGCCACGCATGTCGGCCGTCACGTTGTGGAGCCGCAGGGTGGTGTTGGTCGCCTTCGCCCCCCACTCCGCCCGTCGCAGCGGCCGTCCCTGCACCCAGAGGAAAATGTGTTTAACTCCTCAAAATAAGTGATCTGATTTTGGCTCCAGCAAAAACAATTTTGGATTAACTTGTTCGATGTATGTGTATCGAATGGGGTTTGAGTACGTGTAAGTGTTCTCCTCGTTACATACGCAAATATTTGCAAGTTCAAACACACACACACTAGCACACGCGTTATATGGCAAAAGTACTGGGAAGACGGGACACCACGAGCGTAGCTCTAATCCTGTAACTACACTTAGGGAATTAAACACACACACCAACACATACAAGGATTGTGTGTGTGTGCCGCTTTAACACAAGGGGCACACGCTCAAGGGGACGCAGGTAGAAACTGAGTGCTCAAATGAGCCACAGAGATATTAGAAAGAGCCTTTTTAGTGTCAGAGTGGTTGACAAATGGAATGCATTAGGAATTGATGTGGTGGAGGCTGACTCCATACACAGTTTCAAGTGTAGATATGATAGAGCCCAATAGGCTCAGGAATCTGTATACCTGTTGATTTTTTTTTTTTTTTTTTGAGATATATACAAGAGTTGTTACATTCTTGTACAGCCACTAGTACGCGTAGCGTTTCGGGCAAGTCCTTAATCCTATGGTCCCTGGAATACGATCCCCTGCCGCGAAGAATCGTTTTTTCATCCAAGTACACATTTTACTGTTGCGTTAAACAGAGGCTACAGTTAAGGAATTGCGCCCAGTAAATCCTCCCCGGCCAGGATAAGAACCCATGACATAGCGCTCGCGGAACGCCAGGCGAGTGTCTTACCACTACACCACGGAGACTGTTATTGACGGTTGAGAGGCGGGACCAAAGAGCCAGAGCTCAACCCCCGCAAACACAACTAGGTGAGTACAACTAGGTGAGTAAACACACACACACACACACACACACACACACACACACACACACACACACACACACACACACTATTTCGATTCCCGCACGAGGCACAAACAAATGGGCAAAGTTTCTTTCACCCTGAATGCCCCTGTTACCTAGCAGTAAATAGGTACCTGGGAGTTAGTCAGCTGTTACGGGCTGCTTCCTGGGGTGTGTGTGTGTGTGTGTGTGTGTGGTGTGGAAAATAAAAAAAAAGTAGTTAGCAATCAGTTGATTGACAGTTCAGAGGCGGGCCGCAAGAGCAAAACTCAACCCCCGCAAACCCAACTAGGTGAATACACACACACACACACACACACACACACACACACACACACACACACACACACACAGCATCAACATGGGATCGCGGCATCAACATGGCTTCAGATCATGGGTTCAACATGGCAGGTACTGCCTCACAGGGTTACTTGAATTCTACGACCAGGCAACAAAAATAAGGCAGGAAAGAGAAGGGTGGGCAGACTGCATATTTTTGGATTGACAGAAAGCCTTTGATACAATACCGCACAAGAGACTAGTGAAAAACATGGAGATGCAGGCTGGAGTGAAAGGGAAGGTACTCCATTGGATAAATTAGTACCTAAGGAACAGGAGATAACAAGTCAGTGTGAGGGGTGAGGTCTCAGATTGGCGAGACGTTACGAGTGGAGTCCCGCAGGGGTCAGTCCTTGGACCTATACTATTTCTGACTTATGTAAATGATCTCCCAGAGGGTATAGAATCGTTTCTCTCAATGTTTGCCGATGATGCAACTGAGGATGATAGTAGGAGGCTACAAGATGACCTAGACAGACTGAGTGAATGGTCAAACAAATGGCTGTTGAAGTTCAACCCGAGTAAATGTACAGTAATGAAACTAGGCAGTGGAAATAGGAGGCCAGAAACAGGATACAGAATAGGAGATGAAGTACTTAATGAAACGGACAGAGAGAAAGATCAAGGAGTTAATATCACACCAAACCTGTCTCCTAAAGCCCACATAAAAAGAATAACGTCTGCGGCATATGCGAGGCTGGCTAACATCAGAACAGCGTTTAGGAACCTGTGTAAGGAATCATTCAGAATTTTGTACACCACATATGTAAGACCAATCCTGGAGTATGCGGCCCCAACATGGAGCCCGTACCTTGTCAAGCACAAGACGAAACCGGAAAAGTCCAAAGGTATGCCATTAGACTAGTCCCAGAACTAAGAGGCATGAGTTACGAGGAAAGGCTGCGATAAATGCACCTTACGACACTGGAATACAGAAGAGTAAGGGAAGACATGATCACAACCTACAAAATCCTCAGGGGAATCAACCGGGTAAACAAAGATAAACTATTCAACACTGGTGGGACGCGAACAAGGCGACACAGGTGGAAACTGTGTACCCACATCAGGAAACTGAGTATGACTCCTGACAAAATTGAGAAGGAGTCATAACAGATGATGTGTTTCCAAAGGACTACTATATAGTAAGGAAAGAGAGGAAAGGGAGAGGAGGTGGAGGAGTGGCCCTGCTGATAAGGAAGGACTGGAGTTTTGACGAGATGGAAATTCCGGGCTGTGACGGGTTCAGAGGTTACATAACAGGAACTAGAACAATGGTGGGCCTAAGATAATAGTGGCAGTCATTTACAACCCTCCCCTAAATGACAGAAGACCCAGACAGGAGTTTGATAGGAACAACATGGCAACCAATAATATAATAGAGAGAGCAGCTTCAGTTGCCTGCAGGAATGACTCAAGACTCTTAATCATGGGCGATTTCAACCATGGAAAGATAGACTGGGAGAATGAGAACCCACATGGTGGTGCAGATACATGGAGAGCTAAACTCTTGGAAGTGGTAACAAAGACATTTCTGAGCCAGCATGTCAGGGAACCCACAAGAGTGAGAGGCAATGATGAACCAGCTAGACTCGACTTGATATTCACCCTGAATGAGTCAGAAATAAGGGAAGTCAAAGTTGAAGCCCCCATAAGAATGAGTGACCACAGTGCACTGCCTTTTGAGTACTTGGTGGAGGTAGGGATAACCTATCCAAGGATGAGATCGGAGGGGAAAAGACTAAATTACCAAAGAGGAAAATATGACGAGATGAGGAACTTCCAAAGGAGAATACCATTGGAAACAGAACTTAGGCAAGAATGTGCAAGGCATGATGGATTTTGTCACCCAGAAGTGCCAGGAAGCTGCTAGACAGGTTTATCCCCGTCCAAAAGGAGAAAAAGGAAAAACAACAGAAAAACCCATGGTTCAACCAGGAATGCAAGGTAGCAAAGCAACTAAGTAAAAGAACATGGAGAAACTACAGAAATAACAGAACACCAGAGAGCAGGGAGAGATACCAGAGGGCAAGAAATGAGTACCTTAGAGTGATGAGGGAAGCAGAGAGACAGTATGAAAATGACATCGCGAGTAAAGCCAAGACCCAACCAAAGCTGCTCCACAGCCACATCAGGAGGAAAACAGCAGTGAAGGAACAAGTTATGAAGCTGCAAAAAAGGGTAGAACAGATACACAGAGAATGACAAAGAGGTGTGTGAAGAACTCAACAAGAAATTCCAGGAGGTCTTCACAATAGAACAAGGAGAAGCCCCTGCACTAAATGAGGAGGCGGCAAACCAATCAACCTTGGAGGAATTTGATCTCACCAGTGATGTAAAAAGCTGTCTGCTGGAGCTGGATGTGACAAAGGCTGTTGGGCCTGACGGAATCTCACCATGGATACTAAAGGAAGGTGCAGAAGCACTATGTGTGCCACTCTCTATGGTGTATAACAGGTCACTGGAAACAGGAGACCGACCAGAAAGTTGGAAGACAGGTAATGTAGTCCCAATATACAAGAAGGGTAACAGGCAATAGACACTGAACTACAGGCCAGTTTCTCTAACTTGTATACCATGCAAGGTGATGGAGAAAATCGTGAGGAAAAGGCTCATAAAGCATCTGGAGGGAAATAACTTTGTAACGCACCACCAACATGGGTTCAGAGATGGTAAATCGTGAATCACAGGTTTAAAAGAATTCTATGACCAGGCAACAAAAATTAGGCAGGAAACAGAAGGGTGGGCCGACTGCATTTTCATGGACTGCCAGAAAGCCTTTGACACAGTACCCCATAAAAGGCTGTTAAAACAGTTGGAGCAACAGGCAGGAGTAAAAGGGAAGGTGCTAAAGTGGATAAGTGAGTACTTAAGCAGCAGGAAACAGCGAGTAACGGTAATGGGGGGAGACATCAGAGTGGCGAGATGTCACCAGCGGAGTCCCACAGGGCTCAGTACTTGGACCCATCCTGTTTCTAATATATGTAAACGATCTTCCGGAGGGTATAGACTCGTTCCTCTCAATGTTTGCTGATGATGCAAAAATTATGAGAAGAATCGAGACGGATGAAGATAGATAGAGATTACAGGATGACCAGGACAAACTGGAGGAATGGTCAAGAAAATGGCTGCTAAAGTTCAACTCAGGAAAGTGTTAGGTAATGAAATTAGGCGAAGGGTGCAGGAGGCTGAACACAAGGTACCATCTGGGCAGTGAAATCCTGCAAGAGTCAAATAGAGAGAAAGATCTGGGGGTTGATATCATACCGAACCTGTTTCCAGAGGCCCACATCAAAAGAATATCATCAGCGGCATATGCTAGGCTGGCCAACATTAGAACTGCCTTTAGAAACTTGTGTAAGGAGTCGTTCAGGACCCTGTATACCACTTATGTCAGACTTATCCTGAAATATGCAGCTCTAGCCTAGAGTCCGTACCTAGTTAAACACAAAACAAAGTTAGAGAAGATTCAGCGGTATGCCGCCAGGCTCGTCCAAGAATTGATAGGTATGAGCTACAAGGAGAGGCTAAAGGAGCTGAACCTCACGTCCCTGGAAAACAGAAGAGTAAGGGGAGACATGATAAATACCTACAAAATTCTCAGGGGGAATTGACAGGGTGGACAAAGACAAACTCTTCAGCATGGGTGGGACAGGAGTAAGGGGACACAGGTGGAAACTTAGTACCCAGATGAGCCAATGAGTCGTTAGAAAGAATTTTTTCAGTGTCAGAGTAGTTAATAAATGGAATGCACTAGGCAGTGATGT